CTCGAAGTCAGGAGAACTCAAGCGCTTGACTAAAGTGTCGTTGAATTTAGCGATGTTTGCGGTCTTCAGTCTGTAAAACATGTTTCCAAACAACAGGTATTTCTCCACATCTTTGTTGCCATTCAACCGCTGATCCGCTGTCAGCCTATCAGCTAATTCGTGGTCTATATTAGACCACACTTTATAGTATAACGGATCAAATGGGAGCTCAAGAATCGGCCATTTGGTCACCGATTCCAAGACGGACAGCAATTGTCTTAAACTCAATGACTTCAACGCTCGCACCAAATCGTTGATAACAATTGGATTGTCTCTGAATTCCTCGGGAGGAATGGCTATAAACTTATCGATAATATGATCGACGGATTCATTAGTCACCACGTCTTCACTCATATCAACCGATTCTTCGCTTATAAGCGATTCGATGACTTTGAAGGCGAATTGATTCTCATTATCAATGAATACCATTCTCTTGGTATCCGGTCTTTGGATCAAAACCGATGGATAAAGTCTGTGGTTTGTGTTCAGCTGTTGATGGCTCGCAAAACGCTTCCAACACTTTCGGTGGCTGTCGGCTACCACTCGGACCACCGATTGGCGGCAAACGGGTCTTGAAATCAACCATTTGTTGGCAAATATCTGATGTCCACTCATGAGTGGTGTCTTAAAAAGCAATCTCTGATATGATCGCTTGAATGACTGCATGATTGAGACCACAATTTGTCACAACTCTAGTAATCATTGAAATGACATCAAAATGTATTGAATTAACAATAATTGAAATGTTTGGCAAAACTTTCAACTTTTCTGAACACATGTTTGTATTGACTGTCAATAAATAACATACACTTCAGTCGTATTTGTATTTTCAGAGCCCTTATCATAGTAAATGACAAACTAATGAATCAATTAAAGATTAATTATTAAACAAATAGTTGCCATCAAAACATTGGATGATTTACACACTTGGATACCTTGGATAATTGCAATTGCACACAAAACCATAATTTGACAGGTATTATGTGTTCAATATTTTTACGGACAATCTAATTCAAACACTCACTGTATACATATACTGTATACAAGGGTAAAATAAATGTCACAATAAAAGTAGTGAGAAAATTATTTTTATTCATCAATTAATAGTAAATAATAATAATTATAATAATTTATAACTGAATCTTACGATTAAAAACATTGAAAAACTATTCATTCATCAAAAAGTCGTATAAATGTTAGGACGACATCCCGTACACAGCCTTACGATGGTTTGGCGGCCTTTTGGGAGGCGTTCACCTTATCGCCCAAACTCAGTGCCATTCCCTGACTCTTAGCGCGAATCCTGATGTGTCCGCTGACGGACGCCTCGGGGGACGCCTTCTCGATGGACACGTTGGCCAACGCGTCCTCACCGAAGATGGACTTCGCGTAGAGATTGGCCGCCAAAAAGCCGCAGTCGCCGGACAGGGCTTTCTGTGGGGTCAGACACTTCATGTTTGTCGACTGAATCAAGTGATTCAGGTAGTCCTGGAGGTCTGTCAGCCCCGTATTGACCGTCACTTTGTTCTCCCACTCGAACTCAGCCCACATTTGCCTGAACTGCGAGTCATTACAAGAGGCGGGGATTATGTAATCCATGATGTCTATGTGGATGTCGTTCAGCACCACTACATTGCGGTCGGAGGTCGAGCCCGATATGTCGTACACTGTATACAGAGGGGTAAGAGTGAGGAAATGGAGTCTCAAAAACACATGTATTTGCCTATAGGAGCGACTCTACTGACCGATGTTCCCGAAAATGATGCCGTTCTCAGTGGACGCCACCTTCACGGAGGCCTTAATGTTGGCGAAGTCGTGCGGCGCCAACACCAGGGGCTGCGGCT